AAAAAAAAAAAAAAAAAAAAAAAAAAAAAAAAAGTTGTAAATAAATGCTATCATCAATTAACTTTAACCTCTCTAAAACTCCTATTAAATAAATTAAATTTAGCAGATAAGATCTAGGATGATATTTAGTATTTGATTTGCTCCTTTTGAAATATGAAATACTAGCCTCCAAGGAATTAATAGGCTAACTAAGAAAATTAAATTTTTTATAAGATTTGTTTATTTGTAAATTTAACCTCTATAAAAATAGTGAGTGGAAAATTTTTAGATTATCATCTTCACCTGTGAGCAGCCTCCTAAATTTACAGTTTGTTGTGCAGATGTTATCACTTTCAATTATATCATAATGTAAAAAGTAGTAAAGTTGGCTTTTGGCTACAAATAGAGAATTTTTCTCTGTATATAAATTTAAAAATGTAAATAGGCTAGAACAATTGTTGTATATTGACTCAATAACTGAATAGTCTGTATACTGGGTCAGCTTTATGTTGATCCAGATTTGACAATATCACAAAAAGACTTCTATACCTTATTATCTTCTAATGTATGTTCTATATTCTAAAGTTGTCTTTCCTTATGGTGGTAAAATGGCTGACAGGAGCCTTTCATGGTATGCCTTACCATGTAGCTTTTATAGAATATCAATGAAGATTCTTTCCAGGAGCCACAGTAAATTTCCCTTCACGAGTCATTAAAAAAAAATATATATATATATGTATATGTATATATATATATATATATATATATATATATATATATATATATACTTATTGCGCACCTGTTAATCACTCTGGGTAAGGGATGAGTTACTTTAGAAGAAGAAGAAAATCAGGCTTCTCAGGAAATTTCAGGGAATGATAGTGCCAATTTATGAAAAACACCTAGGATTCTTGGAGGAAGGATAGCTATCCAAACTAAAATTGTGGAATTGTTTGTTAACAAATGGGATAGAAGAAAGTAACTGAGCCCTAACTGGCATATTTATACATGTATACAATTACTATTTAATGCTTATCTATGTTGCAGAAAAAAAAAAAAACAGAATACAAACTAGACCAAGGAAAATTTTTTCTATTTTCCTATTTTCAAAGAAATCTCAAAAAAGATTATGGCTTATCTACAAACTCACACACGAATTTCTTATTGACAGTAACCAAATGGTGGAAAGACAATGAAAAGAATGTATGTTAGAAAAACATTTCAAGTGTTGAGACAATATAGTTAAGCTCTGCTCAACATACATCATTTTTATCAAAATTACATGAAAACTAAAATTCCAGTCTCTTTAAATGAGTTGTTTATTTAAAAAAGTTTTTTTAATGTGTATTTATTTTGGAGAAAGAGAGAGAGACAGAGCACAAGCAGGGGAGGGGCAGAGAGAGAGGGAGGCACAAAATCTGAAGCAGGCTCCAGGCTCCCAGTCGTTAACACAGGGCCTGACATGGGGCTCAAACCCCTAAACCATGAGATCATGATCTGAGCTGAAATCAGACACTTAACCGACTGAGCCACCCAGGCACCCTAAGTTTATTTTTAAGGTATTGATATGATGGAAAAATTTTCTAAATTGAAAAAGAGCTGATAGAATTTCAATTGGCACCAAACATATTATTAGTGTACATTGTCAGTTTTGCTTTTTACTTCTGTGATATTGGCTTCAAAAAATAAAAGTCTATAAACAAAGTAGATCTGTCATTGGTTTGCTTAACTTCTTCAGCATAGTTTTGCATGTGTATACAGGAAATTCTACAATTCTAAATATAAACTCATCTTTTTTGAGAGGAAAAATGTACTTGGTATTTAAAATAATTTAGTCTGTTATGCTCACATATTTAAGTATTTATTTTAAATGTCACTATGAAATGTTAATTTTGATATTTTCCTTATTATATTTAATCTCTTGGTGTGTGTATATATATATATATATACACACACACATATATTTGTACTAGAAGATGAACAGTTCACAAATAAGATCAACATACTTCAATTTAAAACTTTTCATCAGGGGCGCCTGGGCGTCTGACTTCAGCTCAGGTCATGATCTTGCAGTTTGAGGTTTTGAGCCCCACATCAGTCTCTTTGCTGATAGCTCGGAGCCTGGAGCCTGCTTCAGATTCTGTGTCTCCCTCTAGCTGTCCCTCCCATGCTCATGCTCTGTCTCTCTCTGTCTCTCAATAATAGATAAATGTTAATTTTTTTAAAAGCAACTTATCATCAGTAGTAACTACCAAGTTGGGATTCTTTACAACCCAAAATGAAGATACTTGGTATTACATAGTAATCTAAGGACTGTGCTTGTAATGATGTTCCTGTACTTCAAACTTCTAAAAATTTTATTTGCAAAACATTATGACCTGTGTTTTGCAGCAAATGAAAATAAAATAAAGAAGGATTCAGTGTTTTATACCAAGCCTCACATCCAGTGGCAAATATGTAGTTGAAACTCAAAGGAAACATTTACTCAAATTTCATAGCAGAACTTTTTGTTATATAACCATGTCATGGGCACAGTATTATGAACTTTAATTTCCCTTTCCTCAGTGAAGGTTTCTAGGTCCACGTCTTGGATTCTAAAATCAGAGAAGCTAATTCAGATGTGTGATGACGTTAAGAGTTGCAGAATACTGGGTATCTCTTCTTCGTTAAGCTAATATTTTAACAAGAACATTTTCAAGGTAATTTTCTCACTTTATCCAACAGGATAAAGTGTGTTTCTTTATCCAACAGGAGGACTCTCATGGATGGGGTTTGGGGACATATAGAAAGAATGACAACATTTCCACAGAATAGTAAGAGACCTTAACTTTCATAAGGTCTAATTGATGATGTTCCATTAAAATGTTCCCAGTGGCTGTATATTTTGTTTGTATCCATATAAATCTTGCTCTGACTAAACACTATGACTATGTAGGCATTAATCTGATTTTAAATGCTTTTTGTAAAGTGCTAGAATTATTAGTTAAAAGTTAAAGTTAATTCAGTAGTGGGGCACCTGTGTGGCTCAGTCTGTTAAACATCTGACTCTTGGTTTCATCACAGGTCATGATCTCCTTGTTTCTGGGTTCAAGCCCCACATGGGACTCTGCGCTGACAGTGTGGAGCCTTCTTGGGATTCTGTCTCCTCTTTCTGCCCCTCCTCTGCTCTCTCTCTCTCTCTCAAAATAAATAAATAAATAAACTTAAAAAAATGTTAACTCAGTAGTGGGGGGAAACTAGCTCAGTAGATTCTGGTTTCCTCCCAGTAGCTATAATATGTGATATATATCTGCATATATAAGTATATATCTATCTCTCTATATATAGATTGTATGCATATAAGTATATATACAGACTGTATGTATATAAATATCTATCTATATATGGATATATAGATTGTATGTATATAAGTATATATATATAGACTGTATGCATGTAAGTGTGTATATATATATATATATATATGGACTGTATTCATGTAAGTATATATATATATATATATATACACACATATATATACAGACTGTATACGTATGTATATATAGATATATAGCCTGTATGCATATAAGTGTATACATATATATATAGTGTGTACATAAGTATAGATATATAGACTGTATGTACATAAGACTATATATATACATATATATACACATACACACATAAACACAAAGAATATACATACATATATACATATGAAATACATATATCACATATATACACATATGTGTGCATATATATTATATATGCATACATGTATTACACTACACTATATATACTATGTATTATAAAAAATGAGTACTATTAATATTTTAATATTATATGTGAGGAAATTCAGGGTTCAAAAAGTCATTATCTTTATCAAAGTATATATGTGTGTGTATATATATATATGTGTGTGTGTATATATATATTTATACATACATATAAATTGAGTTTGACTCCAAATGACTCTGAATTCATATTCACTGGAGTCTACCAATTAAATTCTATATTTTCACTTTAGTTACTTACCTGTAAAACATCTCGGTCTCATATGAAGACTTCTGGAATACTCTAACTTCCTCAGCAATAAAATTATAATTCCCAAATGGGTTGCATCACAAATGACTCATTGCTTTATATTGAAGTATCTCGATCCTCCTGGAAAAATGCATTGGATCCAGCACCAGACTGCCAGGAACTGAGCCCTGCTCTGGCAGCTTGTAGCTGTACAATTTAGGGCAAAAGAATTAATATCTCTGTGGCTCAGTATCCTCATCATAAAAATGAAAATTGTACAGCATACTAACTCCATAAAGTTGTTGCTTAGGATTAAATTATATAAAGCACTTGGAATAATGCCATAGTTAATATTATTGCTTCTATGTCAGAGTAAATTTTCATGCTTTTTTCTTCTCTATGTTCAGAAAGTATGTTTTAGAAGACCTTGGTCCCTGTGGTTGATATTCATTTAGCTTGTCACTGTGTATAAAGAAGCAATTGAGTTAAATTTTGACTAAGCTTATCCTCTTTTTAGTTTAATGTATTTCAATGATACTTGGCCCATGTGTATAAATAAAAGACATGTAAAACTAACACTGAGTACCTTAACAATTCATAGGATCCTGAATTGATGATATTGATGATATTAAAAAAGACATTTGAGAAAAATCTTACAAGATAGTTACCATTTGGAAAAATATTTTTATTTAAATAACAATAGCTTAGATACCTATTTTTGAGAATTATTATGCTATTTCCTGACCAAGAGAAGGTTATTCTGGTAGTAATGCTAATCTTAGCATAGCTTTTAAACATTTATTTCATGATGACTCTTTATACTATGATTATAGCTATAATAATTAATAGCTTATTTTATTGTTTATTTCTAGGATCACAATGAGCTTTGTCAACATAAAAGTGGGGATGTAACTGATATTTAATAGCTCAAAGCTTTATGCTAAGCATATAACAAATAAAAACTTTAATTTGTCCTTTATATTTCCCCTGCTGGAGAGCAAACTACAGTTTGTATCCATGAAATAAGAATGAAATTCAACACCTTACTTTTCAATAATATTTATTCATGGATTCCACTCTCCCCTCAATAATACAGACTCCAGAGATTTAGGTATGTGCCATATTTTCTTAAGTTGACATATGTCCAAGGTGTGTATTAGGATATTAAGACACCAAATAGATTCAATAAAGTATAGATAGTGCATCCATATTTTGTTCCGTCTTTGTTTTGCCAATTTCAGAGAAAGAGAAAGAGGGAAGACAAACGAAAACACATCTACTAAACAAATATGGCTTTGTTCCAGCACAGCGCAAGTATAACTTTACCTACAAAATGATTTTAAAATGCACTTGACAAGAGGGTTTATTATGTCATTAATGTGCTTCCAGGCCTGTTTTATTTTTGCAGTTGGCAATTGCCATAGCAACTTTAGAAGTTCAGAACTTCCTGGTGCTTCCTTTCTGTACAGAGGTAAATATAATCTGTCTTCAAAATCTGTACATGAGTCAAGAGTAAATTTAAGGATATATGACAGGGCCAGAGTAGAACAGCACTTGCAACGAGGGATTAATTATAGGTAAAGTGAAGAAATATCAAATGGAAGTGTGAAGAAGCTCCCTTTCTTCTTCTTCTTCTTCTTCTTCTTCTTCTTCTTCTTCTTCTTCTTTTAATTAAGGAATGAAAATATCTGAAAATCTAAGTAGGAATGATGCTGAGTCTAGAGAAAGAAAAGATTGAGTTTGAAGTGATCAATAAATTGAGATGGTAAAAATAATTGTTCAAGTTTCTGTATCACTTAACTCTGTTCATCAGGATGGGCAATATGGATGAAATTATAATTTGGGGAGAATCATATCTACCTTGTTCACTTTTTTTTTTTTTGCAGAGTTCTTTCTTGTATGTACTGAGTAATGAATGGCAAAGTGAAGAAAGGATGAAATGAATACATAAGGGAATGAAAGAACGACCAAAACAGCAATATTCACCTTATCTGGTTCCTCTGCTGGCACTAGTAAACTACTCATAATGTTCTAACGCATGGTTTCCTAAGGAAAAACTCTATAAAAGCCTCAATCACCAGGTGGTGTAAAATAAATTTTGAAATGATTCAAGGTTTTTCTGAAACTTTTCCAGAAACCTTTTGCAGGTGTTTTTAATAGAGAAAATGTTCCCATCTGTGAATGTTTACACACAAAAACTCTATCAACACATCCATAGATTCAAAACAGCCTGACATTCAGCAAGCTCCTATTATGTGCATAAGCATATGTGATTAATTTTATTTACAGTAGTTTATTACTGTGTGTATTTATTCATGAATGAAACAATGGGGAAGATATGGACGCAGCTGTCTGTGATTTAGCATTCAAGTTATTTGGACCAAGCGCCTAAGCTATTATGTACTTCTTGAAAAAGGATTTTGAGAAAGTTATCGACCACCTAAAGCTCTCAATGCTGTTGCTGATTGCCTTTTGTACGGAGTTTTTCATTCATGAGAAGCCTTCCTGCGTGCTGTGCTACGGTGCAGCCATTTCTTTACTAAAGTACTGTAGAAATGAATCTGTAGTTCATATTTAATGTATAAAGGAGGAGGAAGTACACAGTAAACCTTCATAAGATAGTGCATTTGCATGGTACTCACCTGTAACTTCATGTTACAAAACCACTGAAGCAGATTTTAATGCATCCCAGCACTGAGCCTATCAATTAAAATACTGTCTGGGATGGGAGCAGGGCATCAGTCTTTATTTATTTTCATGTCTCCACAAATAATTCCTACATGAGGTCGGAGTTGACAAGTCCTCCTATATATGAAAAAAGTATAAGCTAGTTTGAAAGACATAGAATGCACATTAAATACAAACATATGAATTTTAAGAAAAGTAAATGAGAATAATTCAAATTTGGTATAAAACTTAGGAAAGAACAACAATACTAAAGGAAGGTAACAAATTTGACACACTTTAATTAAAATGTAGGTTATAACAAGAAGAAAATTTTTCCCTAATGAGTATGAAATGAACACGTTTGAAATCCACAGCAGTTCAATATCAATGGAAGAGTTATTTTAAAGAAGACAGAAAGAATGAAAAAAACAAAAACAAAAACAAAACCTGTATGGTATTTATAAGTTATATTGCAAATCTAGTTGATAATGATGAGGGAAATTACACTCAGTACTTCCGACAAATCTTGTAAGGCTCTTGACCTACCTATAAATCTATAGCTCCACTCAAAATACCCTTATCTTGTAGCCAAGCCTATCCCTTCTCCCTGAACTGTTTAATGGATTGTGTTCAGCAGTGTAATTCCCTCAACTCCCACATGGTGGCACGGATTTCCTCCTTTTCTACTTAACTCCCTGTGGTAATATAATAGCAAGACTCCCCCAAATTAATGGAAATATTCTCAATTTTTGTTATCTCTGACTGTGTTCTTTAGAAATCACACCTGTTCTTCACAAGCATACAGACTTTTGCTACTCAAAGTGTAGTCGAGGGACTAAGCAGCACTGGCATCACTTAGAAACTTGGAACTTCAGTTTCGTGAGTCAAACCCATGATTTACTGAATCAGAATCATTAAATAAGGTTTAAGACCATTTGTATGCAAATTCAAATTAGTAGGCATTTATATAGAACATTTGTGTTGAGTCTTGCTGTAAAACCAAATTCACTTTTATATTAAACCATTAAATATTAAATCATTAAACAATTAGACTCTGTGATGTACTCTTCTCAAAAGGTACCCCATTCTGCTATTCATTCATGTTTCAGACACCACTGCTCCTACTTGATTGCTCTCCAAACCTAAAGTTTTGTGTTAAAATCTCAGAGATCTTAGTGCCAATCTCTTGCATCTGCCTGTCATCATAAGTGCCTGCCACAGTAGAGAGAGTAGAAAGAAAGACCTAATCACAAGGATTCACCTAATCACCTAACACACATTACAAGATTACCCTTACAGGCCTTATTTAAATGTTATAAAAAGTAAATACCCACAAGTCTAAAAGAAAAGGTGACTAAAAAATAAAATAAAATAAAATAAAATAAAATAATAAAATAATAAATAAATAAATAAATAAATAAATAACTCTAAGCCCACCATGCTTCAATTTCCTGTTTTAATCTATTACTTACCACTCCTCCACCATCATTTTTGGTATTTTATTCTCATTATGCTTTGTGCTTCTTTTACCTAACATTCTTCCTTTCTCTCCCCAAATCATGGACTTCCTTCTTTTGACTTTATGCCACATAATTATAAAACTCTTCTTTACGGTCAATTCCTTTCTGTTCAAGTACACACTGTACTTGTACTTTCTATCCACTCAAACATTCTCAAGATGAGGAGGGTTATTTCCCAGTATTTCACATACATCAGGGTCAGGATATGGTTTCCTCTTTCTCCTCACTGAAAATAACAGATCACTATTACTCTGTCTTCTTGAAATAAACACTATTTGCTTAAGAGAGATGCAATTTTGTTTGCATCACTAGGTTTCCTTACTATTACCTGCCTTCAGTGAAATGTTTGGAACTTTACCTAATCTTTCTCTCCAATCTTATGGCCTACTGTCATTTCAAATAACTTAAATAACAGCATAGACAATCTATCCAACATCAAAGCCACTTAATTTTTTGTATTGCTGAATGCCAAGAACCTTCTCCAGCGGAGCTCCCTACAAACTCCCTTGTTTACATATGAATTTGGATACCCACTTTTGAACTTGATACCTTCACTCTCAAACTTAATGTTTTATCTTTTTAAGTTTCTTACCCACTAGCAAAACAACTACTCTTTGACTTCAACAATACCTTAATACAACTCATACAACTAACTTGGGTATATTCACCACTTTTTCCTCTTCTCACTCTCCTTTTCTAGCCAAATTGCAAGTGCCAACTTTTAAACACTCTCTGTCACTGACATCTGGTGTCTGAGATTCAGGAGAAATTTAGAGATTATTTCCATATTAGGTGAAGTCGCAGAACTTTGTGGAAAAAGAAAAGGTATTGAAACTCTCTCTTGAGTTAGCTTCTGCAATTGAGTCACTCAACATGACTTACAAGACTACTATGTACTTGTTGCTGTTCTAGGTAGTATACAAAGTTTTATACACAGGTCTGCTGAACACGTTGGAAAATTGTATTTTCCGGGTCATGGTATATATAAATGCAGCCTTTAGAATCAAGTACATCAGGAAAAAAAAAAAATAGGTAAGTTCATAGACAGAAGAGATCAGTACTTATTACTACCACCTGACCCTTCTGTTTTCCCAACCTGGTCCCAGGGCAGCTTGTTTCCACATAGGAGACATGCTTCTTGAGGGTAAAAGTGATTGTAAAATCTTGACTACACTTTGTTGCAATGGGTTGTTACTAAATCTTCTTTTATTATGAAGTCAAGGGGAAGAGTTAGTCTCAGTGCATCACTGAACTTGGAAAGACTTGCCAATCACAGCAGCCAACTACCACAGCTATAGGGAGGGTTTAGAATGTTAGTAAGTACTGTCATTCCAAAAGGAATATACACCCAATAGAGAAACTCCCAGCAATTCTCTGTAAAACCTGTATTTAAAGTAGGAACATATTTTACATAAATTCAGGAGAGATTTGAGCTTAATGAAGATTGGCCCAACTGATATTCTACTTAGACAAAGCTAATTCTTGTTATTGAATTATTGATATGGCCAAGTCTCAGTGAAGAGTAAAACATTATCTCTGATTTGTTGCATATTTAACTCAATACATGCTGACTATGTAAAAAATGTATTACATATAAATTTCAATTTGCCATTTGCTAATAAACTGAAAGACATTTTTCAATTCAAGAGTGTACCGTTTGCTATGATATGAAAAATATGACATGAATTTTGTAAGTTCTCTTCAGTTATACTGTTAGCATTTATTCACATAAACATGCACATCCACAAAACATACACAAAAGGGCTGGGCCAATTTATTCAAAAGAAACAAAAATGATAGAGAATCTTTTATTTTTTAGAAGATCTGACAGAAAATAAACACAGATGAAAATCTACACAATAGCTTCCCGCTGATTAAAACTATTGGTAACACTGTAGTTCTGATGGAGGTTTGGATGTTTTCTTTAAGCTACAACTCAGTCATAGGCTGGTATATTTAAAAGATATTACTTAGCTCCATAAAACTTACATAGAAAAAAGACTACAAAAGATGACTTATGCACAATGCTCACCACTCCCCAGAGTCTTACTTTAGGTCTCTTTTTTCACTTAAATTCTAAAAAAATGTATCTGTCATTACCAATGTATCTACATCATCATGTCTCTCATCAATTTTCTTTGGCTAACAAAATCCCCCTAAAGGGATATATACTGGAACATGTATTTTATGCAATTAGGAATACCATCAATTGCTAAAACTGTGTTTAAAATATAACAGCATAAAAAAATGTAACCTTATATTAAAAATATAGGTGACATGTCTAATTTAGTAAATTTTTTCTTTCAAGTAATATTTTAAGATTTGAGTAACAATTATTATAAAAGATTTAATTTACATTCCAATATCTAAAATAGAGTTTTATATTAAGGAGAAGTACTGGAATTTTTTTTGTTTCCCCTTTTTATATCTTTAGCAACTTAACCCTAATATAAAAAATCAGTGTAAAAGTAAAATACAAGACAGGTAAGCTACTCAATATGATTGACTTTGTTTTATGAACAGCATGAATTAAATAGCATTAAAAATTATTCTTGAATATTACTTTGTCAATGAACTAAACACGCCTGATTTGCTGTCACAACTTTAAATAGACAATGAATAAAAAAATGATATGATAACAATAAGATAAACCTTTGGCAGTATAAGTTCTTTCTTAAAAATGACCATACACTAAAGTTTTCAGTCACTGAATTCTGAATTATTAATTTATCTGGATTGAGAAGCATATCTCTGGACTGATACTTTCATTCACCTTATTAAAATAATACTGACCCATTCTCAAAAAAAAAAAGTAGAGAAAAGAAAGATGGAAAGATGGACAATTCCAAAGGATACAGCTGAAAGTTTCATCTTATTGATAATCTCAGCCAGGATCCAAGTACAATTGATCCTTAAGCAAC